TCGGGTACCTTTTACTGCCAAAAAGCACTCCGGCGGGATCGGCGGTTTCGAGTCATCTTGACAGGCGTTGTCGGTTTCTTGTATTCAACTCGAGCTCTAGGAGAGCTACAGAGCTGATACTCTTCCCAGGCCACATTTTGAATGCCCGGGGCCAGCTGTAGACCACTTCGTGTTCTTTGTGCTCCCAAAACACCAGTCCCACGTTAATTTTGAATGCCCGGAGCCAACTGTGGGCCACTTCGTCTTCTTCGTGTTCCCAGAACACCACTCCTGGACCTTTTTTTGATTGCCCGGAGCCAACTGTGGGCCACTTCGTGATCTTCGTGTTCCCAGAACACCAGTCCTGTGCCATATTTCGAATGCCCGAGCTGAGGTGAGGCCGAGGCAGGCAGAGGCCGAGGCAAGCTGAGGCTGAGGCTGAGGCGCGCCGAGGCAGGCTGAGGCTGAGGCTGAGGCAGGCTGAGGCTGAGGCAGGCTGAGGCTGAGGCAGGCTGAGGCTGAGGCTGACGCAGGCTGAAGCCGAGGCAGTCTGAGGCTGAGGCCGAGGCAGGCTGAGGCTGAGGCTGAAGCTGAGGCTGAGGCTGAGGCAGGCTGAGGCTGAGGCTGAGGCCGACGCAGGCTGAGGCTGATGCCGAGGCAAGCCGAGGCAGGCTGAGGCTGAGGCTGAGGCTGATGCTGAGGCAGGCTGAGGCTGAGACAGGCTGAGGCTGAGGCTGAGACAGGCTGAGGCTGAGGCAGGCTGAGGCTGAGGCCGAGGCAGGTTCGGGCCGAGACAGGCTTTGGCCTGGGAGTGGGGTTGTGGGAGCACGAAGAACACGAAGTGGCTTACAGTTGGCTCCGGGCATTCAAAATGTGGCCTGGCAATGCTGTTCTGTTGGCTCCGGGCTGTCAAAATGTGGCCCCTGGCAATGAAAATGGGGAGTCCCCGGATTCCCGTGGCACCGGTCCGGCATCTGCCCAGACCCCCCTGGGGAGTCATGGTATTCTTTTTTGAGCCCACTAGAAACCTATCAGTCTTCGCGGCTCGGTAATCTCGTTGTTGAGTCAGAGGGGCTGCGCTCGCCTGCCCGCGAGGGGGCCATTGTGGATTCAGCCCCCTTCGAGAAAGCACGCAGGGCCCCCTTCGGCCATGCTCGAGCCGTCGAACGGATGGGGGGCGCATCGGGGGCCACGAGTGCGCGCGGGAGTGCGCGTGGGAGCGCTGGGCGCGCGCGTCGCCCAACGACCGCAGGGTGAAGTGTCGCCGCGGCGGAGAGATCCACGGCGGCCACATGGCGTTTTGGATTCGGGCCCGCCTTGGTCTCGCCTTCGCAGCCTGCGCGGCGCGTCTCAGCAGCAGGAGGAGGCGGCGCGCGACAATGCGATAACGCTCGGGCGGCCCACGATGCCATCCCAATGCCAAGCTTCAGGACGTCGACATGATGAAAAATTTTCAATTTCAAAATCGTTGCGGCTCCTTGGGGGGAGGCGGCCTCGCAAAATGTTCCGACCAGATCAGAACAACGGGCGTCTGTGATGATTGCTGTCTCAATGGGTTTTGAGATGGCGATCGGCTCGAATGCCGCCCTCGGGCAGATGTTTTATCGTGCCGTGCGAGCTGCCAGCGGAGCGGGTGAAATGCTGCAGTGCGTGCAGGCCGTGCACCTGTCTTCGCCCCCTCTCGCAGATAGAACACAGACATGCTGCGCGATCCGAGCATCAGCAATGCTGGTCATCTGATCGGAGGGTGCCCACTTGGTGTGCGTGTTCAGCTGACTGTGATCATTTGGCGAACGACCAGATCGAGCCGGGGCATCGAGCTACGCCCGCAGCTGATGCGGATTGGCGCAGAAAGCATCGTCGTGAAGTCCGCGGGCGCAGTTAGCTCTGATGTAAAGGCTTGCCACGTTGCGTCTTTGTCAAGTAAGATGGTTTCGATAATGGTTTTCGCAGATTTCTGCGCGTAAGGTCACTTCGTAATTCAAGGAGCACTGCCCAGAGTCTGGCGTTTGGAGTTTCGTAGTGCCAGTGCTCCGAGGTGCCAGTACTCGGTGGTGCCGGAGCAGGCCCGCGCCGTGCAGACTGCGTAGGACATAGGAATGACTTTGACCACCATGACGTTCCATAGTCTTCTGGTCATGCGCCGCGCTGACTGGCTTGCATGCGATCTTCGCGTTCGCGTGGCCCATCGCATGCTGCAGAAGGGGCCCGCCCCCGTATGTCCGCGACTGGGCCCGCCGCTTCGAGGAGATGATCGTATCGCGATGGGGTCCGCCGCTTCGAGCAGATGATGGTCTGGAGTTTCGCGGTTGCCGAGCAAAGGGCGCGGGGGTGCCGCTGGGGCGTGAGGGGGGGGGCCGCGGCGCCGAATGGCGCGGCCAGGGGCGAGCGCTGCGACTCGGCTTGGAGGGCACTGCGCCGGAGTCGGGTTGGGCGCTCGCGCCACGGACGGTGCCGCGGGCGTCGCTGCTGGGGCTACGACGTTCCACGGACTTTGCGGCGCTCTGCCCGTGTCAATCCAGCGCGCCGCGCGTGAGGCAGCGGGCCCCGCTTCGGCAGGTCAGACGCCTGTGTCTGCGCCATTGCTGCGCCCGGGGCATTTGTCGCTGGCGGTGCCAACGGGGTACGTCGGGTGTGACGGATGGTCTGCTGGGGTGGGAATGGGCCGTGGCCGCGCCGGGAGTTTTGAGACGGGCGTCGGGTTGGGCGTCGAGTCGCGGTCGCGGCGCTGGGCGGGCGACGCGGAGCCGCGCCTCTGGCGCTCCGGACGAGCGGGGCAGAGTTGCGAACGTGCTGCCGGTTGGTGACGCGTTTTCAGACCCCAAAACATAATGGATGGCAAAGGCGACGCAATCCCAGTTGAACATTCGTTACCCCGCGTCATGCTTGAGTGTTGGCTTCTCGTTTTGGGTGCGCAGCGCCGCGCTTTATTCCTCTTTCTCCTCTCCTTCCTTCCTCCCTCTCTTTTCTCCTTGCCTCGACCCCCCGCGTGCCTCTGCTTCGGCGCGCCCCTCGCGCGTCCCTCGGCTTCGTAGGACCCTTGCAGAGAAACCCCACTTTTGCTGGGCTCGCATTCCGGGCCGCATCGGAGTTCCTCAAACAAAAACAATCGCAGGGTTCGCATGCCTGACCACTCCCGTGTTCTCAGAGAGCTGCACAGAAGGCCCACATGGCAGTGTTCGTATGTCTGACCACGCCCATTCCCGCATACCCCTCGCACGTTTCCTGGCCACATATGAGCTCCACCGGAGGCCCGCGTGGCAAGACTCGTATGCACGACGCACATTCTGGCATAATCCTTTGACATTGTCTCAGCCCGATCGGAACTCCACGCAGCAAGGTTCGCATGCCTGATCACGAGAATTTCGCTTGCCCTTGCCACGTTATCCAAACCCTACAAAAGTTCCACCTACGGCTCCACTGGGTTTGTCCACGCGCGCACCTCGCCCATCTTGCTCCCGCTACCTTCTTCACTTGAGGCCCCAGTGCGTGCGCCCACATGCGCCCTCGGGTCATGTTGCTCGCCCCGGACATTTTTTTGCAGGGCGCACGAGAAGCTGTAGTTGAAACCGCAGTGGGTGCGTCCAAATGCGGCCCCCGCCTATTTCGGTCGTCCCTGCCACGTTTTGCAGGCCCCATGCGGGGCCCCAGTGGCGGTGACTGCAGGGCGGCCCCCCGCGTACCCCGGCTTCCGCTGCCACGCTTTGGAGCCAGCATAGGGAGCTCCACCTGCGGCCCCAGTGGCGGTGACCGCATGTCCCCACCCGGATCGCCCGCCGCTGCCACTTGTAAGGGCAGTTCGACCCGAAGCCCCTGTGGTGGTGTTTGCATGGCGCCCCCTCCACCCCGCACACCCCTGCCCCACCTCTGCCACAATTTCAGTCCCCATATGCAGCCCCACCGAACTATCGCAATTGTGAGGTTCACCAGGCGCCTCTCTCTCTAATTCGGCGCACGCTTCACGAGCTCCACCTCGGGCCCCCGTGGCGGGGTTCGCATGTCGGACCTTCCCCATTCGGCGCACCCCCCCCGCAGGTATCCCCACCCACGGGGCCCTGTGCAGGGTTCGCATGGCGCCCCCGTCCCCCACAAGGAGCTTCACGTTCGGCCCCAATGAGCGTGTGCGCATGCGTGCCGACGTGACAGTCGGCACTACCACTACGCGGAGCGTGCCCCCTTCCATAAAGGGAGCTCCCCGCACTTCTGCGCGCCCACTCTGCAACCCCTATCTGCGATGGTGCCCAGGATGCGAGGAGAGGTCCACGCCCTGCGCTGCAAGTATGGTGGGGCCCTTCGCCAGGCTGGTTTTTGAAATGATTCTTGCCCTCGGACACTCTCTTCGGACACCACGTGGCCACCTCGAGCCGTACTGTGGCGGTATCGTGGCTTTTTTTTTTCCGACACGTCGGGGGCCATCTTGAATCACTTGGGACCATCTTGTGAGATCGTTGTGGCCGTTGTAGGTTATCCAGGGTCGTTTTGGATCCATCTCGGGCCGCCCAGGGGGGGGCGACGAGACCCAGGGCAAGGGGTAGGAACAGGGACCCCCCTGCCAGACAGGAAAAATAACGGGTGGATGGACAGACATTCTGCACCGCTTGCGGCGAGAGGGATGTCAGGATGTGTCTGGATCTTCCTGGGAGTCTGGGTCCAGAGAACACCTGGGCCCCGTCAGGGCCACATACGGTTTGCGTCTTGAACGCCCACCATTTCTTGACGCTTCAGACGTATGACCAGGTCCCAGACGTCTCCTGCCATGATGTTTCTCAGCTGCGGAGTGCGTGCATGTGGCGTTGTTGGTATCGACAGATTTTGTCGCTTGCATCGCCGCCTCCATATGTAAGCCACATTATGATTTTCGCGCGCATCCCTGTGCTCTTGTGGGTATGCGTGAAAGCAGTTTGTACTTGAATGCCGGGGTGCGCTTGCTAGTCGGCGTGCATTCTCACCATGTCAGTGTGCAAATTTGCGTGCAGGCTCCCCTTCTCCTTCCTATTTCTCCGCGGCGTCTTTTGCTCGACAGGTCGAGCGCTGTCGGCCTGCCCTGGTAGCCGGCGTGAGGCGCCGTCTGCCTGCCGTGATGCCAGCGTCGACGGAATCCCAGGGGAATCTGCCCGCTTCCCTTCCTTCCATTCCCCCCCCCCCTCCCCCCTGATCGGCGGCGTGAGAGAACGGCGCCCTGGTAGAGGCGGAGGAGGAAGGGAGGGGAGAGGAGGAGGAGGAAGGGAGGGAGGGAGGGAGGGAGGGAGGAGGGAGGGAGGGAGGGAGGGAGGATGGCTGGGATCAGTGAATGATCTGGGCTGCCGTGCTCGGCCTGGTCTTGTTGCAGTGCAGCGGCCCGGAGGAGGCGCTTGCTGGACAGAAGGGGGACTGACTCTGGCTGGCAGAATCGGTCTCTGTGACGGCGGAGCCCGATCCCCTGATCCGAGATAGGACATGTCGTTGGAGCATTTGGTCACCGATCGGCACATCCATATCGGGAAGAAACGCCAGAAGGTGGGCGCCAGCGGCGAGCTCTGGGCCCTGTGTTATCCCGGGGGGAAGAGGCACTAGGCAAGGGGTCAGTTGCAACGTTGGGGAGGGACAGGCTCAGAGAGTCCTAGACCTCCCAGTGCCACCGAGAGGTTGTTGGATGATGATGATGCTGATGCTGATGATGATGATTGTGATGATGATGACGTTTGTGATGATGATGATGATGATGATGATCATGATGATGATGATGATGATGATGATGTTGATGCTGATGATGATGCTGACACTGATAATGATGCTGATGCTGTTGCTGATGCTGATGCCGATGATGGTGGTGGTGATGATGATGATGCTGATGATTATGAGGATGATAATGCTGATTATGCTGATGATGATGCTGCTGATGATGATGATGCTGATGATGGTGATGATGATGGTGATGATGCTGATGATGACGATGATGATGATGACGATGATGATGATGCTGATGATGATGACTATGATGATGATGATGATTATGCTGATGATGATGACTATGATGATGATGGTGATGATGAGGATGATGCTGCTGATGCTGATGCTGATGCTGATGATGATGATGATGACGACGACGATGATTATGATGATGCTGATGCTGATGCTGATGCTGATGATGATGATAATGATGCTGATGCTGCTGCTGCTGATGCTGCTGCTGATGATGATGATGACGATGGCGATGGCGATGATGATGATGATGATGATGATGATGATGATGATGATGATGATGATGCTGATGATGATGCTGATGCTGCTGATGATGATGATGATGATGAACATGATGATGATGATGATGATGATGAGATGATGATGATGATGCTGATGATGATGATGATGATGCTGATGATGATGATGATGATGATGATGATGATGATGATGCTGCTGATGATGATGATGATGATGATGAGGATGAGGATGAGGATGAGGATGATGATGATGATGATGATGATGATGATGATGATGATGATGATGATGATGATGATGATGATGATGATGATGATGATGATGATGATGATGATGATGATGATGATGATGCTGATGATGATGATGATGATGCTGATGATGATGCTGATGATGAGGATGATGATGCTGATGATGATGATTATGATGACGATGATGATGATGATGATGATGATGATGATGATGATGATGATGATGATGATGATGATGATGATGATGATGATGATGATGATGATGATGATGATGATGATGATGATGATGATGATGATGATGATGATGATGATGATGATGATGATGATGATGATGATGATGATGAGGAGAGGAGAGGAGAGGAGAGAGGAGAGGAGACGAGAGGAGAGGAGAGGAGAGGAGAGGGAGAGGAGAGAGAGGGGAGGGGAGGGAGGGGAGGGAGGGAGGGGAGGGAGGGGAGAGGAGAGGAGAGGAGAGGAGAGGAGACGAGAGGAGAGGAGAGGAGAGGAGAGGAGGAGAGAGAGAGGAGAGGACAGGAGAGGAGAGAGAAGAGGAGAAGAGGAGGAGAGGAGGAGGAGGAGGAGGAGGAGGACGACGAGGAGGCAGCATCGAGTACTAATCGCCCACTGATCGCCGACAGCTCACTCAGTCAAGGACCGATCCGGCTCGGCGTCGTGGGCCTGCCGCACAGCTCTCGGCACTGTATCGCCGATTCCGGGTCGATGCCCCTTCCCCCCCCTCCCCCCGAGTTGGGCCCCTTCTCTGCTGTAACGTTGCCCTCCGAAGTGGGGGGGGGGGGAGGAGGCGAGGAGGGCGAACGAGGGGGGAGGGTGGGTGGGGGGGCGAGGGAGGCCGTGGGGGGGAGGGTGAGGGAGGCAAAAGGGGTGGGGGGAGGCAAGGGGGGCAAGGGGGGAAATGGAGGCAAGGGAGGCAAGGGGGGCGAGGGGGGCAAGGGAGGCAAGGGGGGGGTGGGGGGGCGAGGAGGGCCGCTCGGCGCAGCACGTCCGCCCTCCACTGCTTCTGCTGGCCGCCGCCGCCGCCGTGCCCCGCGCTCGGCCTCCCGCCTGGTCTGCGGCCCTCGGCGGGACCGGGGCGCAGGCGGCGGCTGCCGGCGCCAGAAGACCGAGGAGCCCGTGCAGAGCCGATGGCGCCGGGGCCCGCGCCATTTCAGGCTGGTTGTGCCGGGGGGTGGTCGAGTAATAATCATTACATTTATAGTATTAGTCGTAATAGTAGTACTACTAGTGGTAATAACAAGAACAACAATCAGAGTACAACTAATATTGTCAATAAGAATAAAAGCGATAGTAATCGCACTAACAATAGTAAGAACATTAAACATCACCGTAATATTACAAATGGTGAAACGAAAAACCACGCTACATAATCATAATTATCGAATAATAATAAGAACAACGTCGTCATACTACTGACAACACCGCTGCTATTCATGATATAAGTATTAAGATTTTACGAGTACTGTTATCATTTTTATTAACAGTCTGCATAATGGTACTACTAGTACAAAGGGCACAACTACTAGTAGTACAAATAATACTACGAGTACGCATACTACATTACATACAATACTATTAATATGAGCCATACAACCAGTATTATTCATACTAAGAGTAGTAATCCTACTACCACTACTACTCCTACTCCTACTCCTACTCCTACTACTACTACTACTACTACTACCACCTCTACTACTGTTTTTACTACTACTGCTACGACTAGTACTACTACTACTACTACTACTATTACTGCGACGACGACTACTACTACTACTACTACTATCACCACCACTACTAGTACTACTGCGACTACTACGACTACTACTACTACTACTACTACTACTACTACTACTACTACTACTACTTACTACTACTACTACTACTACTACTACTACTACTACTACTACTACTACTACTACTACTACTACTACTACTACTACTACTACTACTACTACTACTACTACTACTACTACTACTACTACTACTACTACTACTACTACTACTACCACCACCACTACTACTACTACTACTACTACTACTACTACTACTACTACTACTACTACTACTACTACTATCATCATAAGAAGCTAATTTATCGAGTAATAGAAGTAATACTAGGGGTCTGAAGAAATGCCACTAATTCATCATACTCAAAATAAGAAGAAAGAGGACGTAAGATAAGAGTAAAGCGAGATAAGCGTAACCTTTGGGCGCTCCTCGCGGATTTCTTGGATCGGCGCTGGGCCCCCCTGACGGCGCCTCCGGCGCCGCCCCTGGCGCGCCCCGCGCGCCAAGGGGGGGTGTTCAGCGTAGATCCAAGAAATCCGCGCGGAGCGCCAAACGTTTATGTTTATGCCGTTTTCTTTTCGGGGGGGAGTGCCCGCAGCGGCGGCGGATGCCTCTTCCCACTGCTGCTGGTGCTGCTGCTCCTCTTGGCGAGGAGGAGGAAGGACAGCGTAAGCATGAGCTCGCGGATGTCCGCGCGGATTTTATGCATCGGTGTTGGGCCCAACTCCCCGGCGGCGCGCGGGGCGCGCCAGGTGCGGCGCCGCCAGGGAATCCGAGGGATGAATCCGCCGTGAATCGAACAAGAGAGGACAGCGTACTCCAGATTTCGTAATAAAGGGAGGGGGGTCTCATTTCGGGGGGGTCTCTTCCAGGCCATCTTGGAGGGCCTGGGGGGGTCTGGGGACGATGTTTTGGAGGGTTCTCCCACGGGGGGGTCTGAAATGGCTTGCCTTGGAGGGTCCAGCCAGACCCCCTCCCTTTTATTACGAAATCTGGAGTAAGCACAAACTTCCAGAAAAGGTCTCACGGGCTTCCCGGTGCTCGGCGCTGGACCCCGCCCTGGTGCTCCGCGCGCAGCCGCGGGGCGGCGCCCCTGGCGCCGCCAGGAGGGTCCAGCGCCGATCCAGGAAATCCGCCCAGATCTCCCAAAGTGTATGTTCATGGTGTGCCGTCTTCTTTTTCTTCTGTACTTCTTCTACTTAGTATTAGTGCTATTTATCATTGTTGTTATTACCAGTGTTACCCTTCTCGTTATCATCATTCAATTTCGTACTCCTTATCCTTCTTATCATGTTTGACTCTTATTAGTATTGTTGTGCTCAACCGCGGTCTTCGCGACGAGCGGGCGTGGGTCCCGTCTCGCGCTTCGTGCCCTCCCTGGTTGAGACCCTCTGTACCGATGGGCAGAGCCGATGCTTGAGCGGGATGTGTCGTAGAAGGCATCCCACTCGAGCACATTATGATGTCTGTGCCCTTGGCGACGAAGAAGACAGCGGAGGGATTTTCTCGGGAGGCCGCTTACGGGCAGCATAATCTGGCAGCACCCAGTGCTGTAGGACGGAGGCTGAAGCCAACACCAATGCAGTTTCCCCCGAAATACAGTCAAGACCCCGAAACAAGGAATCTTGCTTGATCCTGGGCTGAGTAGGTGTACGTCCTGTGGCATTTGGTGTACTTGTGCCTCTCACCCAGGGATGCCCCGCAGGGCTCCCATTCAGGATACGAGGCTGACAGTGCCAGATGTGGATGTAGTGGTCGAGCACTGTCCGTGTTGCCAGTGCTTCAAGGTAAGAACGGGTATTCTGGCTTGTCGGTTGGTGGTGCTTTGTGTGGTACTCGTGTTGCTTTGTGTGGTACTCGTAGGCGTTCGTCTTTACTGTGACGATGCAGGCCTACTAGGCACTGTGCGTACTGCTGCTGGTGTTATCGTACCCTGTTGAGGTATTCTGTCAAGGTTGGCTTGTCGTAGTTGTTGGCGTAGTGGATGGCTGTCTGGGTCGGTTCTGTTTGGCCGTCGTCCATGGGTGGTGGAGTGTTGGGTGCGCGTTACGCCGTGATGATTGCTTGCGTCTGTCGCCCACGCTGCGTCGGTGGAGCGTCCGCTAGCCGTATTTGGCCGTCGAAGTGCCCGGTGGTCGGCAGACGACAGGTATGTTGAGCCATGGCGGTGGCAGTAATTGCCGTGAAGGTAGGGCTGTAGGGCGCTCCGGGGTGCTTGACCGATTTGTGGTTTTGCGCTGTACCTTCTCCTGGCGTTTGGTGCGACTGCTCCACTGCTGGAGCTGGTTTGTCGGTGTGGTGTTGTCCTTTGCCTGCTGGTGTCAGTGGGCTGGTGTTGCTGTCGGCTGTGCTGCTTAGGAGTAAGGAGCTTCTCGTGTTGTTTGGACTGATTCTGCTGGTGCTTCGTATGTGTAGGGAACTTTGTGTAGTATCGCTGCAGTCCTTGGACGGTCCTCTGGCCATTCGCCTCCCAAGATCTTGTAGAGCCATTGCGATGCTTGTGTGAGTGCCGTGGTCCAACTGGGGTTAGTAGGGTCTGCGTCAGGTCGTTGGATCATGTCGTGGATGTACTGGTTGGTCAGTGCTACGTCGATACGAGACTCGGGGTCGTCGTTGTACTTGTTCTGCATGCCCTCTAGTGTTCCGCCGAGCATCAGTCTGGTCCTCTAGTCGTATCTTTGGGGTGGTGGTGATCACTCGTAGTCTGCCTTCGTCGATGTTTTGAGTATGGGGCGATGTGCCTGAGGTTCAGCTGTGGGTTCCGTGAAGTGCGAATATGGCGTGCCTTGTTGGACCGGTCGTAACGGTGGATGTGGGGGCACATGTGGAACTAAAGCGCCGTTTGAGCATTCGGTGTTGAATTTGTCGAGAAGTCTACGCCACTTGTCGATGTGAAGGTGGTCGTTGGGGAATAGGTCTGTGTACGTGTTGTCGTTCTCGTTGTAGTAGACCACTCGTTCCCGTTCTTCGTCGACGTCGGTGGCGTGTGCCATTCTTCCCGATTCATCCCAGCGGACAGTGTAGGTCATGCTGTGAGCGTGGTGGCAGAGGCTCGAGAATAAGCGGTGGTACCTCTGAGCTGCAGTCGTCGTCGTGCCAAGGGGTTTGTGCTGTCTGCATCTGTCATGAATGCTGGTGTGGGCACGTTCGGTTCGGGTGTTGGTGCTGGTTGCGGTGGCTACCTTGGATGTGGTGTTGTGTCTGGGTTGCGTCGCTGTGGTCGGAAGTCGATCTAAGGGAGTATGCGGCTGAGTATGGCTGGGGGTATGTGCCATGTGCAGGGCTTGCGAATCAGGTCTTGGTATTCGTGCTCTGCCAGCTCGGCCTGCCGATGTCCTTGTAGCAGTTTCTGCATGTCGCTATAGTTGTGATTCTCGTCTTGTCCGTCCTCGCTCCTCTGAGTACTGCAGGTTTCGTGCGAGTGAACTTGTCTCCCAATGGATGCGGCATGTGCAAGACGGTCGTTTCACTGATCGCTTGCGTCGGTGGTGTGGCTGGGACGGCACGGTGCTGGGGGAATACGCTTTGGATCACCGTGGGTTCGCGTGACCATAGCGTGGGTGGCCATTCTGGACTGGCCAAAGCTTGTGCGAGCAGCTCGAGCCGGGTCGGTGGCGTATCGGATTGCGCAGGCGAGGAAGGCTGTCTCCTTGCGCCTCTCCATTGGTTGAGCGGCTGTATGACGTGGTCGGGAGTCGTGTGGGCCTCGACGTACTGGGGCTGCTCGCATGTAGCAGGTGGGGTGAGGTGTCGGTGCGTCCTGTCGGTGATCAAAGTAGCCCACTGTGGGTGCAGTGCTGCTGCTCCAACGGTGTGCATGGAGTGTGCTAGTAGTTTAGTCAGTTCGGGCAGCTCTGAGTTGTTGTTGTGGTTGTTGTTGTTGTTGTTGTTGTTGTTGTTGTTGTTGTTGTTGTTGTTGTTGTTGTTGTTGTTGTTGTTGTTGTTATTGTTGTTGTTGTTGTGGTTGTTGTGGTTGTTGTTGTTGTTGTTGTTGTTGTTGTTGTTGTTGTTGTTGTTTTGGTTGTTGTTGTTGTTGTTGTTGTTTTTGCCCGTAGTCATTGAGCATATGAAGCGGTTATGCAGTGAGTGTGCGTGGTTCGTGTGTGTACCTCGGTTCGCGTCCATGGCACAGTTTTGCCGCTTTGTGGCTTGCTGGTTATAGATCTTGGAGGGAATTATCGTGAGGTCTCGCTCGGTGGCGTCACTGCTGTAGTAGGCGTATTTGAACCGTACGCGTTCTGCTGCTATGTCTTTCGTAAGCTCGTGCCCTGGTACGGAGGTCTTGGTCTGGTTCTGGATGCTGTTCTCGTGTCCTTTTGTCCTTGTGCGGAAGGCTGACCGCCACGTAGTTTTTGTAGCGGCCAGC